AATGATATTTCAAGAATGTAAAGGATATTCTAAATAAACCATTACTTTTCCATACACACATCTTCTAAAAATCTTTCTTCTTTCAAATCGACACTAGCGCAAGACATTCCAGCGGTGTTGTACTAAACCAGAAAGTCTAGGATTCAATTACCAGCACAAGCATATTTTTCCGAAGACCCCGCCCGTTCTTCGGAGGGGACGTTAAGTCGTTGGTCTCGACACCAGTCGTACATATCTGATGTCTGTTAGTACTCTCTAAGACTGAAGAAAAAACATTCACTAACCCGTCTGGTCAGTGTGACGAATTATTGCGATATAAACATGTAACTATATGCAAACCAGCTAAACTAAACACAAGACAAGGGTGTTGATGATGAGCAAGAGTCCTTACGTAGGAACAACCTCAACATGCTGTATGTTAAAATCGAGTGCTAATCAGACATCATCACATTGATTTGCCATTCCCTACTCCTCCAAGATTTCAAGTTTACAAAAGAATACGCGCTTAAAAAAGCGAAGTACCAAACGCTCAATAAACCACGGATAGACTCATCGAATATAAGGTGTCCTACACTGCAAACTGTAACAACAGGAAAGATACATTCTGCAAGAACGAGGCATTCTTCTAGACCTTCAAATTTATTGCGGAAATAGTCATTATTATAGGTAATCAACAACAAAATTGAAAAAGAGTAATTCAACAGAACCTTTGCACTCATCTACCACGTGATCGACTAGCTGAAGGATTCCCGTAAAAACATGCGGTGCTTTTGAAAACATGTTCTTCCTTCAAATTCAATTCATTACAACAGAAAAGGGCGGTCGTCGGAGAAACTCCACAGCCTAGAGGACGATCAAACACTTATAGCCTTTTCCTTTTGTCTACTCTGTTATACGCTAGCACTACATAAAATTATTGCTAATAAATGACGCGCTTTATTGAAACATACGATGTAGAACTCCTCTAGGATACCAAAAAGTAGTGTTTCAAAACTGTGGTAAAGATAGTCTCTCGGAGAGCAATAAACTCGAAATATATTGTGTAGCTCAACGCAGCGTGAACATTTTGAATAGAGACAACAGCTGGCCACTTAGTCTCAGTTTAAAATTGATAAAAGTAATAAATACAATGGAAAAAATATGTTTACAATAAAACGCAAATTTTGCTGAAAGTCTTGAATACTATTTCAAATAACACCCACTTGATAACCTTGGTACATATAAAAAGTTGAAGAAATTTCCATTCATTGTTTATCGATGGATAATTAAATTAATATTTCTTATAATTCGTAACCTAAAGAGTAAACAATTTTACTATTTTATCAATTTTCCGACAAACATCAAAATTCATTAGTCTTCTTCTTCTTCTCTTGATCCTTTTGGCTGATGGCGCCAGATAATTCCCTTATATCTGCTAGATTCTTTCCTCCCACTTCTTCCTAGGTCTTCCCCTCCTTCTCTTATCCTTATTCTTTGCTTCAAATACCTTTTTTACTATTGTGTTATGTTCCATTGTAATTCTGTAGGCGTACCTGTTTAGTTGCCTCTTGATCCACTCCCAGTCTTATTTCCTCATTTCTTATCCTATCTCGCTTCGTCTTCCCCGCTATTTTCCGTAAAAACTTCATTTCCATTGCCGTGATCTTTCCTTCCTGTTTATCTTGGAGAATCCATGACTCACTGGCATATGTTAATATTGGGACTGCCACCGAGTTGTACACTTTCAATTTTATCTTCTTATCTATCTTCCCCTTCCCAAAAATTATTCTGTTTAGAGTATGATATACGTTGTTTGTTTTCCTTATTCTTGCATTTATGTCTAAATCTATCCTTCCCTCTTGTGATATTATACTACCCAAATACTCATACTCATACTTCTTCTATCTTTTGCTCCTTAAAATATATTTGTTTCGGGTTATTTCTTATTTCCTTTTTATTTATTATCACAATTTTACATTTATTTACATTTAATTCTAGGCCCATTTTTTCAATTTCATCTGTTCATATTTCAACTAATTTCTTTGCCTTTTTATGGTTCTCTGCTATCAGCACTATATCCTCAGCATAGAGTAAATTATCCATTTTTACTGTTTCCAAACTTTTATAACCTATTACTGTTTGGTATTTATTTAAATAAATTAAAAACTGCACTTAAACAATTAATTTATTTAATTCACACAATGATAAGAAAAATACACAACTCCAACTATGATATTTATTTGTTCTTGTATTTTTGATCATTCTCTCCATTCATATTATAAGTAATAAGGGGCTTAGGCTATCGCCTTGTTTTATTCCCTTGCTCATGTCAAAAGTGTTTGATGTTTCTCCCTTCAATTTACTATGCCTTTTACTATGTCATTTACTTCCTTGTACTTTGGCTTTCTATTATTTTTGTTAGTTTTTGTGGTACCATTCTAGACACTTAAATACAATACAATACTATGGTTAATCATGTCAAAAGCTGCTTTTAGGTCCAAGAATATTAGGTATAGTTCATTGCCCGTCTCTATTTTCTTTTCAATGATAGGTATTTCGAATTACATATATGTTATCATTCGTTTGTTTGCTTGCTCTGTATGTTGCATTTTCATCTTGTAGTTTATTTTCCACTACTCCTCATCACATTTTTTCTATTATCTTTATGTATAATTTGTAACTTGTAGATGATAGGCATATAGCTCTATAATTTCCACAGAATCTTCCCAATCTTTCGGGATTGCTTCCGACTCCCACGCGGTTTTATATGTTCTTACTCCTACTAAGCAACTCCTTCCCTTTTATTCCCAAATATTTTATCGTCTCCAGATCTATCTTGTCCTTGCCGCAAGCCTTGTCTGTTTTCATTTTTATCATTGCCTCTCCTAATTCTTCCATTGCTATCACTTCTGCATAAAAATCCGCCCATATGTCCAGAATTTCCCTTATAGTTGTCTTTATCTCGTTGTTTTTATGTTTGACGGCTTTTATTGGTTTCCTTTGATCTCCCTTCAGTTTTCTTATTTGATTTCAGATAGTCCTGTTACTTGATCCGTATATTTCACTTAAGCTTGTTCCGAACTCTTCCCAACTATTCTTTTTCGCCTCCTTTACCATATTTTTAGCTGCATCTGTGTTCATTCTGTAGTTTGCTCTATCTTCTTCCGAATTCGTTCTTATGTATTTTTTCCATGACTCTTTCTTCTTCTTGATTGCCTGTCGGACCTCTTCATTCCACCAGTGTGGTTTCTTTGTCTGATTATTATGTTTTCTCACTCCACACACCTCCATAGCTTTAAAAATTTTCCACATTTCCTAAAGTGTTAAATTCTGTTTGTTCTAGTTTTTGAAATTCGTTGTTTGTTTTTTCTTCGTATTTTAGTATTTCTTCCTCCTGCCTTAGTTTATGGATGTTTATTTTTGGGTAGGTTTTCATCTCTTCTCTTTCGATTTCTATATTATTAATAGCTGCCATGACTAGTCTGTGGTTGGTTCCCAGTTCTGCTTCTGCTTCAATCTTTACCTCCTCGACTCTGTTTTGGAGATTTCGGGTGTACGTGATGTAATCAATAGTACTCTTAGCATTCCCTTCATCCGCCACAAACGTATGTTTATTTTGCCTCCTCTGACTCTGGTATAGTGTTTCTAATCAATAAGTCGTTTATTTGACAAAACTCCAACATTCTTTGCCTATTTCTATTCATCACTGCCTCTCCTTGATCCCCATATTCTCCTATACTACTTCCCTCCTTGAGTACATCATTACCTATTCTCGCAATTCAGTATCCCATTATAATTACTTTCTCTCCTTATTCTCTGGATTTATCGAAGGTTTTCTATAGACTTGAGTAAAAACCTCGTATTTTTCTTCTTCTGTTCCTTCCGTTGGTGCGTAGATTTGAATTATATTCACCTTTCGGTTTAGGTCAATTCGCAATTCCTGAATTCTTGAGTTTACTGGTGCATATTTATTTACTCTTTTATTTAGTTCTTCTACTATAATTATACCCACTCCCTCCTTGTTCCAAGTTTTTTTTTGACTCCTGAAAACTATAAACTATATTTGTTTGATGCGTTTGTATGCTTCCCCTTCTTTTCTTTTTTGCTTCACTAATTCCCATTATTTCTATCCCAAACCTCTCCATCTCCTCCATTATTTTCCTTTTCTTTCCCGTTAAAGTTGTAATCACGTCCCCATTTTCATAACTTCCTTATTTTCTCCTTGCTTTTCCTTGCGCTTATCCAACTTCTTGCCATTTTCATCCTCAGTAAAGTCTCCTCCTCTTTCTACCCTTAGCTTTTTTAATTTATCGGGCGTCTCCTTTTTTTCTTTTTCCATATCGTCCTGCTCGACTCCTCATCCACTATCTTCCCTTCGTCGTTTGCTTCACCTTTACAATTATTTTGTTGTATTGTAAATGACCTTTAATTCTTTCCTCCTGAGTTGCCTTAGTTCAGTCATCAAATCATATCTCTCTCTCTGCATATTCTTGGAGTATATTCGTTCCTTTCAGCTCTTTAACTTTTTTTGAATACAGAAGGATATCCAGTTCTTTCTCTCTCTTTACAAAACATTCCAGTTTCTCTTCTTTAATTCCCTTTATTACCACATTTTTACGCTATACCTCTCTTACCAGCATATTTATACCTTTCTCCGGTTCCACGATCTTTCCCTTAAGTTCCTCATTTTCCCTTTTGTATCCATTCATCTTCCTTCTGATGTCGATCAGCTGTCCTTTTATGTCTCTGAATATATTTTCAATTTATTCCATATCTGACATTATTCGTTGTTTTATGAAAATATACCCTGTTTCGAAATGATCCACTTTTCCCCATTATCACTATCTATCACTAATGATTCAAATGACTACCGTTTGTCATTTCCTCAGAAAACAAATTAAAACTATCGGAACGATTTACTCACGTGTTTTCTTGTTAAAATATCAGGTGCGGAAGTTGATTAGTAAATAATTAATTTTAGTTTTGTTATTAACTCTGTTTCATTTTTTTTTTTATTACAGAACCAAATTAGCGTCAAATGAAGTCAAACTTCCTATGGGAAGTAGAGATACCATCAATGAAAAAGAATACAACCCGTTTGACCATCGACAAGTTGACCATCCGACGGCGTAAGTGATCTTGTAAAGTTATATTATTTTTTTTCTACAATTATTTTTATTTGCAGAACATCGGGGGCTTTAATCCATCTATTAAAGAGTTCCTTAGGTACCGGAATATTAGCGATGCCAAATGCTTTCAAGAACGGCGGTTTGATTTTCGGTTTCGTTGGTACGATAATCGTTGGAATATTATGTACACATTGCGTTCAATTATTGGTAAGTCCACAAAAGAAATTGATAGAATCTGTATACACTTAAAGATTTTTAAAAGCGATTACTTCCTTCTGTTGATCTGCTTAATATATTAAATTTGATAAATATGGTAAGTGTTGCCAATTCGAGTCGACAATGGGCCATTTAGGTCCTTGATAGCCTTGAAAATTGACCGGAAGCAATAAGTTTCAATCAGACCAACCGCGTGTACCAGATAATTGGCGATTGTCGTAATGTTTGTGACGTTATTTAGACCATGTGTCCTTCAAAATGTCCTTCTTAAGACAATCCTCTTTAAGTCAATTCTCTCTTTAAACTTTCCGCGACGATTAGCAATACATGAAGGACATCGATACCTAAGTACCGTTTGAAAGGTCGCGTAAATCGACCATAAAATACCGGAAGAAATCAATGAAAAACGATTAAATTCCTTTTTTTATTCTTAATTTATACTTTATCGTTACAACAATGAATCAATCCGGTTTGAGAGATGATCTTTGAAAGGTTTCCTTGAATTAATTGTTGAATTCATTAGAGAATGTAATTTTAAATTAAAATTGATTCATCTTAACTAATTAATTTCTTTCGAATATACTTTAGAATTTATTGTAAATATTTATAAAACACCTACGTAAATCATAACACTTTCGAAAATCAAGATCATCATTAACGATAAAAATGTATTGATATCTGAAAAATATTTATTACAAAGAATTAATCAGGTTTAAACCAAACCGATATTTTGAGACCGCGTGTAGCCTTTTCAACGATTTATCACTTAATTAACAAATGTACTATTAATAATATTGGTACTCTCTAGAGATTGACGATTTCTTAATACATGTGTCGATTGATAAAAACAAAAAAAAATACATGGAATTTTATCAAGAATCAATCTGTCGTTTCACTACACGAGTTCAATTATTCTTTTTTAAATAAATATCAAAAAAAACACTTGACCCAAATAATTTAACGATTTTAAAGTTAGATTAAAGATTTTTGCGATAGAAGTAGAAGTGGAATAATATTAAACGTATTAAATGTCTATATTTAAACAAGAAGGGGACCTCTCTTTGGATCTTTAAATTATTATTATTTAAATTATTTACGTGGGTTATTATTTTGAGAACGATGATTTATATTTGCTTAGAAGTGTTCAATAATTTTAAGGAAACTCTGTTCAATGTTACTCTCTGAAGCCAAATTGGTAGATTGTTATTATGCGTTTGAAATTTGATCAGCAGTATTCTATCAAACATCTCACTAAGAAGCTGTAATAACCTAACATGACGGTATGGTATCAACTAGGTGATATTCTTTCAAGTGCCCCGATAGTTAGCCTTCATCGTCGATATCAGTATTGTTTGTTGGGGAAACATCCGGTGGCTTGAATATCTTCACATGATCTGCTTCATAAAATCTCTACTTGGATTTTCTACAAATATAGTACACGACTTTTAGTGGGAAAATTAAGCCGCCAATATTGCTTCCCACATAATTGAAGGGATTTTTGCTAGAACGTGACAAGCCACATTTGCAAAAATGAGATTTTGCTATTTTCTCATCTTGCAATAGTATCACAAGCTGCATAAAAATGTGTACAAAGTTATTCGTCCAGACGGCTCTACTTATCTTAAAATCTCGTACTTACATTAACACTGCAGCGTTAAAATCTGCAGGTTAGAACTTGACAATTTTGAGAGAACCTATTTAAACTGTGCTATGACCATCGCTAGAGTTTACAAAGAGTTTTATGTTCCTTGGTGTCAAGAAGGTGCTTATCGAAAAATGTTTTGTACGGAATATAATATTGGATTTAAATTACCTAAATCTGATACTTGCAAAACTTGCGACGATTTTAATTTAAAAATATCTAACAGTACAATAGCTTGTGAAAATAATGACAAGAAATTATAAAAACTAAAAACACAGTCCAATTTGCACAAAAGTAGAGCGGCTGCAATGCAAAGCTTATTAAAAAGCGAAGTAGAAGAATCTAAGGCAAAAGCAGATCAAAAGTATGGTATTTCATTCGACCTGCAACAGAAACTTTTTACTGCCGAAAGATTTGGCTTTATAATCTGGGTCTTCATCACTGCACTAATGAACAGGGTTTTATGTATTTTTGGATAGAAGAAAAGGTCAACAGAGGAGCGGATGAGATAGGGTCCATTAAGATAAAATTTTTTAAAAATATTAAACCTGGTGTGGAGAATCTTGTAATATTTACGGATAACTGACCAGATCAAAACAAAAATTGAGTCATTATGTCTCTCTGGCTACAGTTAATTAGAGAGAAGCAATTTAAGAGTATCACCCATCACTTTTTAGTGAATGGGCATACTCACTTGCCATCCGATCGTGACTTTGCCTTAATAAAGAAAAGACAGAGAAAATAAGTATAAAGTTAAAGTAACAAAGTTATAGAAGGAAGTAATAAAAAACATCCATTTGTGGTCACGATTATGCAACAAAACGATTTCATGAATTTAGAACCTTTGCTATCTAACATTTCAAAAAATGCACGCACTGATAATGGTGAAAAATTAGACCTTTCTGGAGTCTATTCTTTTCATTTTAAAGTAGATGCTCTAAAATCATTCTTTATAAAACACTCAGTTTCCATGGTTTTCTCTCAAGTCTCCTTTTCTGTATTCGTGCATTGAGTGCCTTGTTTGGATTACTCCATTCTCATCGCATGTCCGACCCACTTCATCCTTTTTGTTCTGATGAATTCCGACATGGTAACATCTTTGAAAAGCTAAGGTACAACAACGAGATATGTTGTACTTCCTCATCCTCAGCATACAATCTCTGGTCTTGAACTGATCCCAGAATTCTATGCAATACTTGTGATCTGTGAGCTGGTGTATGCATCTTTTATGCCTACAGAGAATTTATAATATAAAGGCTGTATCAGGTATGTGCAGAAAAAATTTGAGGGGTTATAGGTCCCCTTTTTGTGAATAAAAAATTCTTATAACACAATGTCCCATTCTTCGCCATTCTTAAGATATGATACGATAAAGTTAAGAGTTTGAAAGTTTAAGTACTGCTGTATAAAGAATTATATTTTAATTATAATTTTTAATTTGGCACATAAAAGTCATTTTTGAGATATTTTTTTAGAGGTTGTTTATACGAATAAATTTATCACTTCTGTTTTATCACTCTTTCATGGAAAATTTACACAAATTTAGGTTTTAATAGAAAAAAACTTGCTTATTGTATTAAAAACAACAAAATTACAAAACTAGAAACAAATTATAAGTTGCAAAACAAAGTCTGCTTAGTATAATTCATTAACTAGTACTCAAACTTGTGAACCCTTAACTTTATGGTATCATATCTTAAGAAGGACAAAGAATGGGACATTGTGTTATAAGAATTTTTTATTCAGAAAGGGGAGACCTATAACTCCTCAAATTTTTTCTACTCATATCTGATACACCCTGTATATCATAAATTCGACATATCATGCTTTTCCTTCAATCGTTTATTTGCTGTATTTGCTCTTCCCTCTATATATTACTTATTAGCATAATAAGTATAATAATTATTATCATAATTGTATTCGTGATAATACCCATGTTTTGACCTCTTCAGCCAACTCAAAGAAAGCGATGTAGGTATTGGCGTTATGTGTCAATCTCAATTAAAAATTAAATTATTATACATAACCAGCCTAAGCTAATAAGGTTATTGTTGAAATGGTAGTTGCGGAAATTGATTTTTTTGCCATTTTCGTGGTTTACATCTTCTAGAAAACTTATTAATTTTGGATAGTAAAGGTAAATTTGATGAATTTTTGACTCAATTAGAAAACATAGACAAAAATAAGACATAAATAGAAAATAAATAAACGCTTAGTAAAGTCAATGATTTCAATATATGTGGTAGCAATAGAATAAATGAACTATAGACGGTTGGGTCTGTTGCTCCTGATAACATCTGCCT